GAAATTTGCTCTCATGGGTCCATGGCAATTTGATAAAGGAGAGACCGGAAATGTTCATGAAGGGAGAGTCTGTGTAAGTTTTAAGTTTCTCCATTCTTTCTTGAATTTAATGGTATGATCTTTGTTGAATGGGAAATCAGATATTTTACATGAAGAATAGGGGGCCTCCTGCTTTTCAAATTAAACTAAAGGAGAAAAGTATTTTTATCCTCTAAAAACTGAAATCAGTTATGAAAGCTGTCTTTTGAACATGTTCTGGTGTTGATTTGTCATGCAGGAGACCAGGTGTTTTAGTTCTTGTAAATGATTGTGACTGGGAGCTAAGTGGTCAGCTCGATACGATCCTTGAAGAGAAAGATGTGGTGGTTTTTATTTCGACACTGCACGGGGGATAGTTTTTGCTTGGTTATGTTTGTCATGTGGTTAGATTTTTGAACAAAAACACAGAGACATGGTCATTGGGTGTTGTTATCTTAATCACAAACCAGATTATCCATTATATTATAACTGATTAGGAGGCAGATGAAGATTTTTCTGTTTTAGTTTCTTCTTATTCTTGTGTTTTGTACCTTTGGGATAATGGATGGATGTAGTTTCTTTGTGCCAATTATCAACGAATCAATTTTGATGATTGCTATGATGGAAGCTAATGATCAAATATTAAGTTTAGCTTGAAGTTGTCATTTGGTTCTTTTCTTTTTCTTCACAACCACAACCAAAGGAAAAATTATAAATAAAAAAATGGGCGCAAAAAGTGAAGCACACACTCTTTATTTTAAAATATTTTTTTACTATTTTTTTAAATTAAGAATTTAAAGATAATATTTGTATTTATCTATAATATCTTTAAAAAAAAATAAAAAAAAATTGTGTGATTAAATGATTAATTAAAGTAAATGAATAATTATAAGATTAAAGGAGGAAAAAAATATATTTATTTTGAAAAATAAAAAATAATTAATTTAAAATTAAGAAAATATAATTATTTTGAGAAAAGTAGAATATAAGACTAAGAAGTTCTCAATATGGGCCTGATATAACAACCAAATTTATGATTTGATTAATGAATAAGCTGGGCTTGAATGAAATGGGCTCTAATTGTTCAGAGGAAGAAAACATCAAAACACAATTCATCGTGGGCTCGGCTCCAACAGGTTGCAGGATTAAAACGGTAAAACCCAAATGCAAAAGTGATAAAAGGACATTTGTTGAGAGTGGGATTTGAACCCACGCCCTTTCGGACCAGAACCTTAATCTGGCGCCTTAGACCAACTCGGCCATCTCAACGTTTGACTACTTTCGGCTGAACAATTCAATATATAGAAGTTATTAGTACAAAACAAGTCAGAAGTTTCCCCTAGGCACCAGGGAAAATGGAGACTGAAGGAAAACAGACATCTTTCAGAATCAGTGCCAAAGGGGAAGAATGCATGTCATTGCTAAAAAGTTACATAAAATAACTGTCAAATAAATTATGCTAAGAAACATCATCCAACAACAAAATAGAAAAACTCCTTATGTGCTAAACTTGGAAAAAATGGTCAAGGGAAAAAATGAGCAGTGGTAGCAATGTTGCATGATCAGGCCTTTTGTTTTCCTTTACGGAGTCTGTCTAGCTCAGCCTCAGCATCTTGCAACCGTTGCCCTAGCATAGATACTTTCTGCTCTAGTTCTTCCACTGTATAGTTACCAACGGGAGGTTGATACGGTGTGAGAAAATGCTGCGAAAATGCCTTCAGAGCCTCAACTCCAGTAACCTATCACATCCATAATAATATAGCTAGTCAATGGTTTATTAATTGTAAATGAGAATACCTACCACCAAAGGAACAGTGACGTAGTTAGGGTTTATAAATTACTTAAGGTTGCCTGAAAGGCGTAGAAAATGCATCTTACAGAAGAAGTAACCAGGAAATGAAATACTCAAATCATGGAACCAAATTTTGGTAAAACTTAGTGGAAAATAAGAAAATTGAACCCCAATGGAAGAAGTAGCAAAGCTTAGTCATTATCAACCACATACGTTGCTTGGTGGAAATATCAAGCCACTGAAATTTCTCTGATAATTGGCTTATGTATGGTACACAATACAGACATTTAGTGATGACAAATGTTTACTAAAACTAAAATATGCTGGCAGCAAAAGAGGAACTAACCTCTTCAGGCAGTAGTGGCAGTTTAGTGATGTGGAAGTCATCATACAGCATGTAATACTGATCAATGTACTTTTGTTGCATCCGCATTCTTGCTCTTAGCAATTTGGAATCAACATCTAATATTATAACAAATACCAACTGCACGTAAGTTTTTCTTATTAAAGAAGAAACGCAACAGGGAAAAGGCATTAGATGGATATGGCAACAAATATACCTTCTTCATCAAAAAGTACTTGGTTAATTATAATATTGTGTGTGTCTATCTCAAACTTGGTTAGTTCCTGCACCAGCCTTTCTGTTTCATAGAGAGAGAGGAACTCCGGTATGCAAACACAGACAAATGTTGTCAAGTCCTGCCAAGATGAATTGAAGCATATCATACAAAAGAAACATAGCTGTGTTGAGAAACTTCAATGGATGATTGGATATAAAACATGAAACCATGTGGTAAAAGTTTTGGTAAGTTGCGGGAGATTTAAGATACTTATAAAGGGAAAAATGAAGATTCCCACAATCTTTGCAATTGCAAGTATAGAGCTTTATTTATATGTCTATCTCACACTTTGGATTATGAGACAGGACAACCAGGCAGAGATTCTGACCAGTTTGTCAACTTACACCATCTAACTACTTGGATAACTTAGTCTCATGCTGAGTTTGTAAGGAGATTGTTTGGTTTTATCATTTTGAAGCTCTACATAAAATTGACTCCATTTGAGGCATGACTAAATCCAAGAAAGAATTGGCTTGAGAAAAGCACTTCCCAGCCAAATTCATGCAGACAGTGGGTATCCCCAGCCAATTCATTAGCAGATTTTGCCCATCACTCTGTTTATGATTTAAAGTATTTCATAATCCAGCTAGAAAGGAAACCAAAAGAGTGCCACATTAGAAAAAAACTTTTGAATGGGTATCTTACTGGGTCTTTGAACTGCTTATTCACTTGTTCAATCACATCTTTCATGCCTTCTAGCCTGCCCAAAATTGCATCCTCTGCAAATTCATCATCAATACCAAAGAGACGAGTCATCTGCAAATAGAATTAGAGTAGGAAGGAATGTGATTTGCCCCCAAGTTGCCATGAAGGTCAGTACATATAGTAGAGCTTAATCAAACCATCAGCCTTCACTAAAATTAACTACAAGCCTATTGTCAATTAGAGAACTGTTGAAGGATGAGCAATAACACATGAATGACAATATTATGTGAAACTTAAGATTATACCTGGCTCATTATGCCACCAAATCTATTTCTCAATGACATCACTTTTGCAAGTCCCTTCTCCAAGGTTGCCGGAAACTGCAATAGTCGAAGTGTATGCCCGGTTGGGGCAGTGTCGAATACTATCACTGAATAATCCATTGTTTGCACCAATCTTCAGAAAAGAAAAACACATGGACAATATTAGAAATCAACTGAGAGCTCAAAAAACTAAAACTAAAATACAGAAAAAAATATGTATGAAAGCCCTGATACAACATATCATTCAATTATGAATCTTAGGATCACTAATTTCCAAAACATTAAAAAGGGAATCAAAACTGAAATTTCAACATAATGAAAGCAGGGGTAAATAAAAGTTTCCTACTTCAGCATCTCTGCAAAACTCATTGCCTCATCAATTCCAGGAATTGCATTTGCCAACTCAGAAAACAAACTGTCCATTCCGTCTGTACCACCCACTTCTTCATTTTCAACAGCAGGATCCACCTCCTGTAATGTGTCAAAAACAGGGAAAATTAAGACAATACCATTGACTAGAAGCACAAATTACTCAGAACATCACATTGAAAAAGTTTAAACATAAAACAAATCCTCCTCAATATAGAAGTGAGTATCAGGCCAAATAACTGAATTTATTCTGTGATACAAATCCAACTATAATCATCCTCAAGATTCTTTCTTTTACCACAATTAGGAAGAAAGATTCAAGTCCAAGCGAAATTCCAAATTGGGTAATCCCAATTTCCGGCAACAGAATCAAGAATGAAAATCAAACAAGAAAGTTGAAAATTTTATCTGAGAAATCCGAACCCAAATTCCCCAGAAACAAAAATTCCTTCAGTCAAGAAAACCTTACCATGGCATATAGATTTGTAAACCCATTAACCAAAGTAGGCGTTTTTGTGAAGCGTTGCTGAAAGGCATTGCTGAGGTTATGAGCAGGATCGGTTGATATGATCAGAACCGATTGGCGGACCCGAGATAGGAGGATCGAAAGAATCGAACTGCATGTAGTTTTTCCGACGCCTCCTTTGCCACCAACAAACACCCACTTGAGGGACTCCTGGTCCAGAATGTTCTGCACAGATGCCTGCGGCAAATCTTGGGTGTCTGTTGCCATTGTTATGACAGAGCAATTGGGTTTCAGTAAATCTGAGCTGAGGTTGCTGTCTCTGTCTCCGGAACTTGGATTGGAAAAAAAGCGAACAGCAGAAACCCAACTGAACTTGAAATCTGTTATATGATTTGAAGGCTTGATCACGTGCACTTTTTTTCTCTGTTGCCCGACAAATGAAAAGGGTAACCAAAGTCCAGTATGATGGTAAGGCGAGAAAGATGCAAGAAAAATGAAAAAAAAATAATAATAATAATGTGCAAAATTAAATCAATTTGTCAATTGTTACTGTTTTATCAAATATTAAATAAATAATAAGTAGATACATATTTAAAGATCAATATTAATTTTAACACTTATTAATACTTTTATTGATTGGTGGTGTTAAGTTTGCAAAAGTCAAATATTAGATTCAATTCTTTTTTTTTTATCTTTTAATAATTGTAATTGTTTAAAACAATATTATTATTAATTATCTAAATAAATTAATAATAATTTTTTTCATTAAAAATAAAATATTTTAGATTTAAATGTATGTTATACTAATAAAATGAAATAAAAAATAAAAAAAATTATTTTTCATTATATAATTAGATAAAAAAATATTAATTTTCTTCCCCTCAAACTTAAATATATATATATATATATATATATTAAAAAGAAAATTTGTCTTTCGTCATTCTTTTCCTTAGTGGGGCAAAAGCATTAAGCAATGTTTGATGCCGTGATTAAATTACAATGGCTAATTTTCCTTTTATTTTCTCTTACACTTTTCGGTGACAAAAGCTTTATTTTTTATACATAGATGTGGAGCAGATGCATGAAGAAAGAAAAACATGACCCAGAGGAAGGGTTTATCAAACTGTATGTAAATGTATCTGGAAATTGATAACAGGGAGGGTGGAATTGTAGAATTATATTAATATACAGGATTTTCACATACAAGGAAATTAGTACAGCGAGTTATAGGTAACGCAAGTGGCAACAATGGAGAAGATACAAATCAAGAGTGAAGGAAGCAATGTAGCATTCAGGAGCCAACTTTCACCCAAGTACCCTGACAGTGTTATTGTTCCATCTGCGATCACCCTTGCCAAGGTTCCTGCTTCTGTGGACAGCAGCCCTCCATTGTAAGTTCCCCGGGAAAGCCTTGATGACATGCCTCGAGACAGAAGGGACAAGTTCACACCTGCAGCAATGTTGAATATCGTCTTGAATTCATTCATTTGAGGATCTTTCAGATTTGAAGGTTTTTTAAAACACAATGTACCTTCAAGAACTTCAGCAGATACAAAGGTAACAAGTGCTGATCCAACATATTGGGGTACGGAATAAGGGATGATTACATGAAAACTTAGCAGTATTCCAATGCATACCATAATTTCAGATGCCAGTAGGACTTGTCTGCATTCATATTAGCTAATTTCATGTTATCTGGGGATAAATTTTTAATAAATCTGCATCGTTCAGTTTAACTAATATCTGTGTTACCTTTCTTCAAACAAGTTGCTTATGTAGTTTCCAACAACAATGTTCACAGGAAGCACAGTTAGTCCTAGACATGCCAGAAAGACAGCAACACTGCTGGTTGACCATATAAAGTAGTATTCGGTGACCACACTTGATTCAGCTAGCAATATCTCCATTGCATATTTAAGCATGAAATAAACAAAGAGTTGAACCTGTTGAACAAGTTTTGCCCAACTGAGAAATGCACACCATGATTCCCAAATTGTAATTGAAAGAAAACTGTATATTCTTCACTTACCTTAACAGATGGTGTTAGTAGCCTGTAAGCTAGGGTGATTGAAGTAACAGGTTTATGAATTTCCACTGCAGAATCTTCTTCTCCATCATCACATTCTTTTTCTTCTTCTTCTTCTTCTCCATTTTCTACATGTTTGGCTTCTAAGTTCAAAAGCAACGGCTGTGTGAACCCATTCTCCACAGCATAAGTTACCAACGGCCCTAAAATACATAAACAATATGTTATCTTAAATCAGCAAAAGAACAGTTAGTCTAAAATTTTGAGTCAACTTGACAAACCAGGCTCATTAACGATAGCTTCCTGTGAAGCAAGACTGTTTTGGGTTTCATGAGGAGGCTCTCTAAAGGAAATCCAGAGCCAGAGTAAGTAGAGAAGCCAAGAAACAACCATGAACCAACCAGGCAAAGTGTCTTCATTGAATGTCAGATTGAAAATCTTAAAATTAGTTTGAAACAGACAAGCAAGAGCAGGACCACAAGCCATTCCAAGGGCACTTGCACTCACAAACCCTGCAGAAGCCTTCATCCTCAGCTTATGTGGCACACAATCACTTATATATCTCCTGTTAACAGCTCTTGCAGAACCTAGACTGAAACATTCAAATTAAGAACATCATGAACAGCTTTAGCTATATCTTAAGAGGTTATCATATAACTTACCCACAAAAAAGGCGACCAATTAAAAGAACTGATATGGAATTAAGATCATAAGCCAGGGCATATAAAGTGTTTCCAACTAGAAGAACAACACTGCTGAACAGAAGTGGTCTGAAATATGTTCTGTTAGACCAGGCACTGAAATAAACCGAAGAGAACACTTGTGCAACAGCCATGGATCCAATCACAACTCCACAAACAGTTGCTGCAGCTCCAAGGCTTCGGGAGTAGTCATCAGCTGTTGGGACAACGATGTATGTGTTCACCATATACAAGAATGTGTTTACCAAGTTGAGCATAAGTGACATGAAATGGTACTTATGCTCAGAAGGATCCTCTTCGGTTGGAGTTGGTAAATCCTCTTCCATAATAAATGCATGCTTCCCCAAGAACTCAAGGAAAGTTGTTGAATTTGACAGTTTGTTTACTGCTGCTTTGATAGAATAAACCACAGGATCCTGCAATTTTTCACATTCTTTACTTAGTAAACAATTTTTTTATCAGCATTGTATAATTATTCAAAGATGATTTGAGAGAAAACCGGGTGGGACAAAGCAGGCTGATCATAAATGGACACATAGTTGCCATGATGGTCCTGCAGGTCTGCAAGATTGCGAGAAATGGCTCCAACAACAGCCCCAATTCCCTGCACCATGTTCATTAAGCAGCTGATTCATGTTTTGCACACTAATCTTCATTTCATGTATCAAACAAGAACACAAAAACTATGCTTCTAAGAAAATCCCCTATATAAGATTAATCAAATCAAAGGTTTAATGGGACAGGAAAAGGGTTTTGTAAAATTGATCAGATTACCACTTGTTTAAGCATTTGTCTTAGCTGCGAATAAGGATGATTTGCGCGGGTTTTGACATAGTAATTAGTGAATCTATAGCCAAAACGCTTATCGAATTTTTTCAGAATCTTTCTAAGACCAATAGCATTCATCTCAAGAAAAAAGAGAAGCCTCAAAAGATCATTCCCAACTGCTCTATACGCTTCCTGTAACTCGGCTATCTTCGGTCCATCCGGATGCTCTAAAGTATCATCATGCTGTTCCCCAAGACCAGATAACCTTCTTGCTAGTTGTCCTTGTTGTTGCAGCAGGAACAACACAATCTTTTCAATCTGAAACATTCCAAAACAATCAGAAGAATTAAGGAAATTCAGTTTCTACTATCTACACTGTCTTAAAGATTGGTGTCATCCGTTGTGTACTGTTTTCACCTGATTGTCAAGCATCCTTGAGAAGTCCTTAAGAACATCATGGTGATCTTGTATTCCGACCTCCAACTGTTGTGCATATCGGTTAACTTTCTTCTTCAACAACTTGTAGTTAATATAATATCTGAAAAAAAGAATCAAATTTCAGGCCGTGCACATACATGACCAGTAGTAACATTTAAAACAAAATCAACCATTTTCTTACTAATACGATTACATGAAATGAAACATACCTTTGCCATTCTTGAATTTGTGATTCTTTCAACTTCTTCCCAAAAGCAACCATCTTCCTGGAAAAATCAACTCACTATAATGAACCAAAAAAAAATGTCAGGTCACTATAATCAAACGTTGAAATTTTTTATTGTGAAGTTTCCAAAAAAAAAGAATCCCTGTAAAAGTTAGAACCACAGAAGGAGTTGTGATGATGAAAAGTATGAACCCTGAAACAGGTAGACACTGACCGGAAACAGAGGTTGAAAACAGAGGACTCTGTTCTTCATGTCGTTTGAGCATGGGAAATAAGCAGAGGAGATTTAAAATAAATAAATAAATAAAATAAAATAAAGGGTATTCGTGGAATCGTGGGAAAGAGAATCACTGCGTGGGAAGATGAATCCCGAGGACAAAGTACGGAGCTTGCAGTGCAGTAAAAAAATGAGAGAAGGAGGCGAGTACTTAAGGGCAGGCCGGCACGTGGCTAGGATACTCAATGTCCACGTTCGTGTGTGCCATTCATCAAACCGACAGACAATTCTCAACGTTTTCTTTCTGTTTGGATGCAGCGATGTACTATCATGTATCTACTTCTACTCAATATTGATGAGCAAATTGAAAGTTTATTTGAGTACTTATGATATTCTTGAAACATGGTCAATGATTTGTTGTGAAACCAAGATAGAGATAATCTTGTCACAAAAATTGTTTCCCAATAATATGTTTTCAAATTAAACGAGTGAATGGATATCAATTTAGTTAAGACAAGACTGTCTGAATCACACTTTTTCTAGGTTCTAGTGCAAAATGAATGAAGAACACATTGATTAGTGCCAAAGTATGCTTTGGAACTGTAAGAGATAAAGTGCAGAAACTGTAGTTACAGTTTTTTTCAAATCCCAACCAATATGGAAGATAGAACCCCCAGAAATCCACTAAGCCAGTACACAGGCAAGGGCTAATGACTTACTGTATATGTACCTGTTTTGCTGAAGCTCTCTTTGAAGTTTCTGTTTGTATGGAATAAGAGAGATTAGTAGAAGAAGAAGAGAGGGAATTGACCATAAATGCTGCATGGAATTTTCCTGTTTATTTCAGGTTCATGAATAAAAGACAAAAAAAGTACTCTGTCCACACTTACAAAATCGTACTGGATGCACACGTGTTGCCACATTACTGATTTACCTCTTTAGAATAATGAAAGGTCATTATAAATCCTTTTATTTTTAATATTTAACCTGCACCATCAGCAGCACTGAGCTGGGGGCGTATTGGTGCTTTTTTTTTTTTGGGTAGAAAGGGGTGTGTTGGTGCTTGTTCATATGCAACTTTAACTTTCAAGCTGCTTCTTTTCTAGACAGTATATTCTCGGAATAAAATTAGAAAAATGTATTGTGCCTACCCTAAACAGATGCTTAGTACTAAATCTCAAGTAGTTATAGTAAAAAAACTTGACTAAATTAGAAGATAATGGGATTTGCAATCTTCCAAATCTGATAATAATTACAGAAGAACTGACTCAGCAATATCAACACCACAAAAGTTTTCTATATAAATATAATCTCCTAACATCCATTGGAGATCAGTTTGGTGTGACATGGTGTATTTTAAGTCATCAAGGATACCAGAAATAAATAAACTCTATTGTTCTCTTCTCCTTGAATAATTTTGTTTTTTTATACCGTATAGACCCACATGTAGTATGCATAACTTTTGAGAGTTTTTTTTTTTATTAATATAGTTTGATGTTCACTTTATTATTATTATTTTTTTCTAGCAAGACAACTCTAGATTCAAGTAAAAACAGAAATTTCGTAAGTGGAAATGAAGAACGGACTGTTCATGGAATGAACTCACAAGATACATAATGTGGTGAGTAGGGACTCAAAAGATAAATGATATGGCAAGTGGGGAATGGGCAGTGGGGACTCACCTTTAGAAATTAAAAGCATACTTTCAAAAATTTTCCTCCAATATCTTACAAACTACTTTGTACCTAACTACTTTTTGCCAAACCTAATTACCAAAAAAATGAGATCCAAGACATTGAACAAATTAAGATCCCCATGAACAAATTAAGATCTCCAACTCCAGCTTAATGGCTTAAATTATGGGTTAGTGTAAATCACCTCCTATAAATTGTGTGTTCTCATCACACCGATCTCTTTCACCAATCTCCATTTACTTAATATGTATTAAGTTCTTTTTGTTCAAAAAAAAAAAAAGACATTGAACAAATTAAGCTTGTTTTTCAAGTCTCATAGACATGTAGTACCCTAAGATCAAGCCATGAAGAGGCCAAAGTTATCTGTTGACGATATATATTGCCATGGAAAATGATATTGTGGTGATAATTCATCCATTTTTCATGGACGGATGGATGGATGGTGTCAGGATGAATCCATGATTACTAACAATACACTCACTCGGAATCCAAGAACGACATTGTTCATCCTTGGAGGACCATTGAATTGGGCGTCAACATCTGCATAGATGCAGAATATTCTAATTCGGTAGTTGTTTCAGATAATCCATGAAAGGAATTGAAGATATCTTGCTGCAGAATATTATTCTTTTCGTTTTTTGGCCTGGAATTGTCGTTCTCAGGGGAAGCGCTTGTGGACGGAGAGAAATTCACGCATACACTGGAGGAGGACGGGTGGATTTTTAAGGTCCATAGAAAAAATGGGTTTGTTTTTCCTTTCCGTCAGCTAGCTCAATGGGATCTGGATGTACAATATTAGGCTCAATAACTTAATCAAACAAAGTACCCATGTTTATTGCTGGGCTCTTTCATTCCTCGTTATAAAGGTAGCCCATTGGATATTTTTGGCCCATCCACCTCCTATTTT